ACACACACACACACATATAAACAACCTGGGTTTTTTAACCTAAGTCACTCCACGGAATCGCTAAAACATAGAGCATAGTCTGATGAAAAAAGACGCCAAAGTTTATGAAAACAAAATTTTATCGTCAAAATGCTTATTTTTTATGAAGAGGATAGACTAAATTTTTTTAATTATTTTTTAAAAATTTTTCCATCTTTTTAGAATATTCTAAATTTTGATTTAAAAAACCTTGTTTCTCTTTGTCGCAACAAAGGGTAGTAAATAACATAGATAATTTTAGCGCATTTTTTCTATTTACACACATTAATTTGGAAAATCTTGCAAAAATAAAAATAATTGTCAGATGTTAATGAAACTTTCAGAAACTATTCACAGATGATCGAAATTATTATAAATATATATTTTTTTTATTAAAGTCATGGCAGAAATTTTTTTTATATTTATTAACACCCCATAACTAATTTTATGAAAAACTCTAGAAATTCGAGACCATCGGTTTTAGTGATTACAATAGTTAAAAAGCACAAGGCTTTGAAGAATGCAAATCATGTTTTTTTTTTTTTTTTGTTTTTTGGCCAACGTACCTGAAAATCAGCTGTGAATTGTAACATACAAAACTCAATAAAACAAATATATTATTTAGTTTCAAATGCTTTTATTTGTTTTAATTTTTTTTTATGAATATGGACAATATTTTCTGAAAGCAAAAAAATTTTCAATGAAAATTGAATTTTTCATACAATTATTTCTTATTTCTTTAATTTTAAAAAGATTTTTAAAAAATGTTTAATTTGAATTTTTAAAAATATTTTAACATTCGTTAAAAGCAACATCAACCTTTCAAAATATCCGTGTGAGATTGTCATTGTCTAGTGCTTTGAAAATTGTATAATTTGGACCAATCAGATTAGCCATGGTAATTAAGAAATGTAATTTTTGTGTTTATAGTCGGACAGTAATTATCAAGTACGGAAGACCAACCAGAATACAATTTAGATGCATTATTTGAGTTCAGCATTGTTCTCCGCTGTTAAGCCCTTTACTTTTGCGAAACACGTATGGAGAAGTTAATTTGAATTTTCAATTTCAACTGAGAAGGGTACCTACAAGTAACAGTATCATCTTATGAAATTTCACTACTGCTAAACTTTAATTTATATGATCTTATTTTTATATTAATCTGAGTTATGACATTTTTCCATAAATGAAATATCAAAATTAATAATAAAATGAATGGAAATACAAATAACACAGTAAAATGTAATAAATGTACATAGAATTATAGTATTTTATGTACACTTCTGATAAAATTTCATAAGAAAGGTACCTAAATTAATTAGATACCTTTTTCTTATGAAATTTAATCTCACTATTAACAGTCTTATTTTTTAATTTCTTTATATTTTCCATAAAGCATCGTAAACGTAAAAATGAAAGCTAAGTACAAAAAAAAAAAAAATAAAATAAAATAAAAAATAAAAAATTAGAGCGCTGAAAGTTTTCCTTAAAAGTAACAAGGTAAATAATTTGTTCACTTAAATAATTTCACTTCCTTCCATCCGTAGAAAGAATTCTCCTCCCGTAAGTTATCTAAACGTCATGAATGTGCCTTTCGTCAATCGTCAAGCGACGCGAAAGGTTATGACCTGCTTTGTTTTATTTTCAAATTACATTTTTTTCGGCGCAGAAGCTAAGTTAAGCTTGGTTCAAAATATTTTAAATAAACAGTATAATATCTGTTTTTTATTAAAATCAGTTTTGAAAAAATGATAATTGACTTTTAAAAGAATATCAAAGTAAGATTTTAATCTTTTTATCAAATCGAAAAAATGATTGAAAATGATTATCTGCCCTTTTTTTTAACCAAAAAAAAAAACAATATTTTTAACGAAAATTTCAGACGTGCTAGGAACGATTAAAAAATGTAAAAAAATACCCCAAAAATACTTTGATCTTTCCTCTTTAATAATAATAATATGAACATTAGACGATAAAATTTTGTTTTCGTCAAGTTCGGCGTCTTTTTCATCATGCTATGCTCTTTTGTTTACATTTTCGTGGGTGAGTTCTCCCCCTTTTATTCTCACGATGTGTCTTAATTGCGTTTTCAAATTGATTTTATTAAAAAACAACTGTATTTTTCCCATTTTCGGTCCCCTTAGAACCACCACAAGGTAATTTTATGTAGTCCTGTGAAGTTTTGTTGAAATCGACTAAAAAATGTAGGAAATTCGATCCAACATATAAACGTTACAGACACACACACACACACAACCTGCATTTTATAATAAGTAAGATTAAGAAAGAAACAACCTTAAGGTTCCACGACTATAATCTATTTCCCCAGAAAATATATTTTTAGTGAATTTAGTGAATCCATAGTTTTTCACACCTATGTGAGAAGTTCAGACTTTGGTATCAATTCTTTGATTTTGATTTTTTATGTCTGTGAACTGTTAATAAAAATAAATAAATAAATAACTGAACCAATTGTTTGTTGTTGTTTTTTTCTCGTTTTTTTTTTATCTTACCATAGGCCTAGCTTTAATACAGATATTAAATGATTACTTAATCATTCCAATGCTTTAAGGATATCACAGGCATTCCAATTTTTTCCGTAAATATTGAACGAAAATTTAAAAGAAAATGGAAAATTAATATATATTTTTTAAGTGCATAAACGTTATTCAAAGTTATAAAAATGGCCATTTTTCAATTTACAAGTTTTCACAGTAGTAAAACAATGCAATGATTAATTTTTTTGTTTAGATAGTTGAAGTTTTCTTAAGCAAAATAGACTCAGAAATAAAGAATAACATTTATTTCAGGTTTTAAAATTGAAATTAATTTTATCGGACTTTTAATTCTTAGTCTACTACTTTGCTAATAATAACTTCAACTACATTTTTTAAGCATTACGCCCCGAGCAAGGCGTGAAGCCACTAGGATGCAGGGGGGGTGCAGAAGATTTGGAGCAAGAGCAGATAGGAGTGATAGGAGAAAGGATGAGGAGAAGGATAGTGGGTAGATCAAGGTAACTGGAGATGCCGATTGACATTACATTTGGATAGTTGGAGATTATAGCTCTCAGGGAAATAGTGATTGGGAAGGGTGTTCCACAGGCGAGAGGTGCGAGGTATGAAGCTATTGGAGTAGAAGAGACGGCTACATTTAAAAGTTTCTACAGTGTAAGGCTGGGGGCGGGATGCCAGCCTCGTAGGGCGCTTGAATTCATGGAGTCTGGGAACCAGTGAAAGCAGCTCATTGGAGCAATTACCATGGAAGTATTTCTAGAAAAGTCAGAGAGAGGCGACGGCGCGTCTGTAAGAGAGTGACTGCAGACGAGACGCCAGATCAGGGCCAATTATATTACATATCCGTCTCTGGATATTGTCAAGAACTCCGAGGTAATCAGAAGGTGCCCCAGACCATATATAGCAGCAATACTCCATGCAAGGGCGAATGCCATAAAAAATAATTTAAAATGACATTGCATTTTTTTACATTCTTAAAAGAAAAACAAACCGTGTTTCTGTTAACATGGCATAGACTCCTCACTTGTTAGAATTTAAATAAATATTTAAAAAACAGATAAATTATGAATTTAAAAGTACAATGTGCGTGTTGTTGTTTTTTTTTTTTCTCAGAGGGTATATGAACAAGATATCTTTCTTTTAATATCGTAACGGTAAATACTAAACAGTTTTTAAAGTTTTTCCGATTTAGTAAAAAAGTAACGTCTTCATTATTTTACATATCCCCAGTTTTATTTGTTTTTAAAATAAATAAACACAATTATACTTTTTTATTTCATAATTTATAAGTGGCGAGTTATAAAAACCACCTTTTAAAAGACACACGGAAAAAACCTGGAATCATACGGGCATTAGATTCTGAGAAATGGATAAAAATGTTTATAGTCAACGACGAAATTATTCGTACACCCATCAATTTTTAATATTTTAAAAAAATATTTTATATAATATAATATTTTATAAAACATGCATATATATATATATATATATATATATATATATATATATATATATATATATATATATATATATATATATGCATGTCTCATTACAAAAGACAGACAAGGTACTACGGTTTAATTTTTCTTGTGTTCGCACAAGAGCTTTCTTTTTTAGACACGGAGTGTGTAAACTGTCCAAATGTTCTATAGTTCCGAGCGCTTTCGGCTATATGCATAACACACACACTCGTTTTAAACTGAAAAATAAAATATGTATATATATATATATATATATGTGTGTGTGTGTGTGTGTGCATATATGTATATTATGTATGTAATGTATGTATGGATATGTATATATATATATATATATATATATATAGATAGATAGATAGATAGATAGATTTATATATAAACTTTAAGGGTTTTTAATGTGCATTTTAATATTGTGTTCCGTCTGGGGAGGGGCGGTAAAAAACACGAGCTACGCCGCTGATCTTCACCCTGACCTTTTCTAACATAAACACTTATAGTTTTATTATTCAATTAACGAACACTAGACTAGACTGTCAACTCGAACATCAAGTTCCCCACAGCCGGAGTTAAAAAAAACAAAAATTGAATGTGAACCAAAACAGTTTCCCTACACGGATTTTTTTCATCGAGTTTTTATCCAATAAAAAAAAAAGTGCCTAAAATTTGAATATTTTTCATTCAATCAAGTTCGAATTAAGAAATGATTCCCAGTCCTATGGAGCCTTTGTTTTGAACAATATATTTATAAACAGTCGACAATCGTTTACTAAATCAGGAGTCAGTAGGTTTTCTTTCGAAGTCAACGTCACGTAAAGAAAGATAAACAACGTTAGAGATTAGAAATTTTCTAATCTTCATGTCATTCAACGTTGTGTATCTTTCGACTTCGTCTGATTTTACTCAATGTCTAATAACAACAAAAATGACAAAAAAAAAAACAAACAAAAAAAAAAACCAACAAGAATTAAAAAAAAGATAATCTTCTTACCCCGATCCCTGAAGATCTTTTTAAAAATGAATAACCAAGATGGTCTTCCTTTTATGGATTCCCCTTTCGTTATCAGGCCCTCTTTGACAATTTCCAAATCAGAAACAAAAACTGCAGTGTAGGGTCCAACACTTATTTTAAAGATTCCTCCGTAAATCTTTCGAAACTCCATAATCCGACGAAAAAATTCCTTGGCCCGAATTATCTGTGGCAAATTTCCGACGATTGGAAATGGTCTGGGTCCAGGGGGAAACTTATAATGTTTTTTGTTAAATTCTGTCAAAAACCATCGAACTACGAACAATACAACAACTCCGATGAAGAAAGTAAGAACGTTTTGATTTATTGTAGATGGACTTGTTGATGAAAATGTGGGGTCAGCCATGATTTAGTTGCAAAGTATCCACTTGTATAATATCGTTGTACATAAGATAGGTAAATTTTCTTTTTGTTGATAAATGCTGCTGGTTGTAATTGTAAAAGCAAACATAAAACATTTCCTTATTCCTCCTTCACTTGTGCTTCTTTCTTCAGTTCATTTAAAATTCTTTTTTTTAATTTTTATTTTACATTTAACATTTACCAACATTAAAATAGTATTTCTTTCCTTCTTTGCAAACTGCATTCACTTGTTTTTAAGAAATTTTACCCTTTCAGCTTTGTGGCTTTTTATGGGTCACTTCAAAAATCACGTCTCGTTCTCAGTTAAGATACTCAAATATGGGCCACTGCTGGTAGATTTATGTAACTAAAAATGGATTCATTATGTCGGCCATGACCTCTTAACGATTTATTTACCTAAGCTCATACAAAAGAGATTGAAGAGAGAAGTAAACTCTAGATTTAAACTTATAAAACTTATTTCTCATGCGTTAGACTTGAACTAAATCACTTAGTTTTATGTGGCGTGCTTGTTCATGACGCGGGCAATCGTAGCTCTCCACAACATCCTGTTTTTATTGCTCTAAGTAACTTTCGACCATTTACCATTCCTCTAAAAATGGAGGTAAATAATATTATGTCATGTAGGGTTGACCCAGATAATGGGTGGGGTAAAATAAAGATGGGCGAGGTAAAAAAAATAATGGGTGAGATAAAATATAAAAATGAGTGAGGCAAAATAATAGTCTATCTAGTAACTTCCGTAAAAGTTACTAGATAGACTGACGTATTTAATGCAAACGTTGTGAAGTCCCGAGTTAAATTACTGAGAAATGGTAATTATTTAGCATGTTAGATAAACCTTTGAGTTGATAAAACTTTCTGTGACAATATTATGGTTCTTTCCGTTTCGACATTCACAATGAGAAAAAATACGTGTGAAAACAGTATTTCGTTAATTGTTGACACGTAGGGAAAGTCGCTAATTAAATAGTATTTCGTTATTTTTCACGTCATCGACATCAGTTTATGGAGTTTTGTGCAATAAATGAACATTACATATTTGCACGCGTTTTCATATCGCGTCGTGTTCTCCAGGATAATGGAGGTAAATAATATGTATCACGTCGTGTTCACCTGTTAGTGATGGTAAATAATATCATAGTACGTCGGGTTCACCAGTTAATGAAGGTAAATTATATCGTATCAGGTGGGGTTCACCAGTTAATGGAGGTAAATAATATGTCACGTCGTGTCCATCCAGATAATGGGTGTGTTATGGAGGAAAGTTTTTGTTGGGGGTGCAGTCTTTCTCAGGAGCAGGTTATGGAACTAGTTGATTTATGTTGCGCAGTAAGTGTTTGGTTCTTGTGGCTAACTCGTATAAGATAGTGTAAGCGATTACTAATTATTTCGAGTGCTGTCCGGAATAAAGCAATCTTAACCCAACATAATGATGAAGCAAAGTTAATTTGTAATGAAAAAGAAGATAAAAATTGGTTTATCAACAAATAACAATTTATTTGGATATCTTATACATTGTAGGAATCCTTTTACTCGGTTTTTCGTTGAATGTTAAAAATTTGGAGTGTCGGGATTCGATACATTAACAAAATATCGTTACAGGGTCGCTCGTAATTTGGACGTCTAGAATAATCACACGCTTTTCATTGAAGGAATAAAATTCAGTAGAAAAGACAACGTAGTTTCAACAAATAAACATTAATTTAATATAACGACAAAAATACAAACAGTTGATGATACATTGGAAAGTAATGTCTTTTTGTTTTGGTTGATAAAGTTCTGAAATAAAATATAAATTCTCTTTGTGTACGTATGTGAGAAATAATAAAATGTGATATGTGTGTTTATATGAAAAAGTCAACATGTGTGTCCGTGATTCATATGTGACGTCGTCCCCTGGTCGCAGCGTCAACTGTGACGTTCTATCCTGGTCTACCACGGCACCAACTGTGACGTCCCTAAACAGCACTAGTTGTGACGTCCTCGCCGCGGCGCCAACTGTTCGCTCCTCGCTGCTCCGTTCGGGTGTCGCTGCTCCAAACGTGACGTCCGCCCGTCGCGTCAGTCGTGTTGTCTCGTCCTGTGACGACCAACTGGCTTGGTATCGGTCGCGGCACCCAAATGTGACGTTCTAACCTTTTGGTGATTCGGGTGGGAATCTGGTTAGATTTGATATCAGCATCGTCGTTCCCAACTCGCTTCCAACGCCTGGTTACAAAGGTAACTGCATTGATCCCCAGTCTGCCTACCCACGTTGTGAATTGATCTTAGGCAGACGAGATTAATCAGTGGTTGGGGCCGTAATGCAAACCGAGTTCAACGGGGGTGATACCACACAATATGCATAAAAGAAAATAAAATGAAAACTCAAAAAGTTCAAAGTATCAAAGAAAAAGGTAACAAACTTTATGTCTAGTTGTTCGATACATAGGACTGCATCTATCTCCCGACCCGTTCTATGGATTGTGACACGTCGTTTTCCGTTAGGCGAGTTTTAACGCTTCAAGTTGTTTGCTCTATAAGAAATTGTTTTTTTTTTTTGTTTTTTGTGTCTTCGGACGAAAGTCGAAAAAAAAACTTAGTTCGGTGGTCTGGATCTAAGTCGCTCTTCAAAATAATTGTTCTTGGGTTGAAGAGGAGTTCGGAATTTGCGTGAATCTTGGTCAGCTATCTACGAGGCGGCTTCAAATGGAGACTCAACTCAAACTTTTCTGGAACTGAACTCACTGGAACTGCTGGAACTGATTTCTGCTGGTTGGGGCTTCGCTTATATGGACGCCGATCAAAACCGGAGTGGGTCTGTCGGCGTCGGGGGTTCCTCGATAATTCTAAATACATATCCACCTCTTTTTATTTCTGGTTGGGATTTTCCACTCTTTTCCATTTTTGGGAACCTTTCCTCCTCCCGCCTTCTCACCATACTTCAGAGGACGTGAACTGCCTCCCACTTCTTCGTAGCGCTTCTCATACCTACACTCTGGATGAGGCGGCGACAGCCTCCTTCGTGCGTCACGTGATCACTACTCGACCAATGATGTCTTAGTCGGGCGTGGACGAATCCGCGGCTTTGTTTCAGGGAAAAAAATATCTTGCTTAACTAAAAAAAATTATCCCTTCTTTTCCTTTTCTTCCTCTTAATCGCCGTTATCATTTCTCTAGCCGCAAACGGGACAATATGAACAATGGCGGTCATAACTCTTGTTCTACACGTGGTTTTCGTCAGGTATTTTATCGCTAATTATCCGAATGGGTGGTCTTCTTAACACGGCCAACCGTCGCCCCGAAAAAGACAGAAAAAAATTCCCCATTCATTTCCCTTCGGTACATATTTCTGATAACATTATTTTATTATCGCAGGCCAAGGATGTTACGTCGAAGGAATTCGGTCAGTGGACAGTTGCTTGTGTGGCTTTGATACAATTATTTTTTTCATATCTATCCCAAAGTCCTTTTAGTTGCCTGTTTTTTCGTCACTTATCGAAATAACATTTTCATTTGAATTTTCTTTGGTCAGTCGGTCTGTAGTTGATAATAGATGCCTTCCCGTGCCAATAGTTTGTTTTCATATCCTATATAACACAGCCGTTATCAAAACATATCTGATTCTTTCTTTCTTTCCCTTTCTTTTTTACTCAGAATTTCCCTGTCATTGTAATGACACCCTTTTCGCCATTTGTTACTTATCAAAATATCCCTTATCCATTGCCTCTTAGCCGTGTGTGTGTTCTGCTTATCATCCACGATTCGGTCCTTAGCCTCTCCTTTTCTTCTTTTCTTTCTTTTTCTTTTTCTGCCTCGTTAAATGGTGCCATAATCCTCCCTAACCGATTTGTCATTTACCCGTAAATGACACCTTGTTAAATACACCTTTTAACATGCATCATGCATTTGTCCCATGCAATTCTATACTACTTTCCTACATGCAATGTAATGTTCTCCTTCAACTTCTTTTGTTCTACATGCAATGTAATGTTCTTTTTCAAGTTCTTCTGTACTACATGCAATGTAATGTTCTTTTCATCTTCTTCTGTTCTACATGCAATGAAATGCTCTCTTTCAACTTCTTTTGTTCTACATGCAATGTAATGTTCGTTTCATCTTCTTCTGTTCTACATGCAATGTAATGTTCTTTTTCATCTTCTTCTGTTCTCCATGCAAATGTAATGCTCTCTTTCAAGTTCTTTTGTTCTGCATGCAAATGTAATGTTATCTTTCAAGTTCTTCTGTTCTAAATGCAATGTAATGTTCTTTTTCCTCTTCTTCTGTTTTACATGCAAGTGTAATGTTCTTTTTCAAGTTCTTCTGTTCTATATGTAATGTAATGTGTGCGTGTGCCTGTGGGTGCAGATGTGGTTACTATGGTTTTGTTCTTCTTGGTCAATGTTTTCCTCTCCGCTGTGGGAGGTTTTTCCGCCAGTACGTGGCGGTCTCACAATCAACTCCTCCGCTGGTCTTCCTGCAATTTCTTCGCTGATTCTGTCTTGAGTATAGGAACACTGCTCGGCATCTCCCTCTCGAGTTGCTGCATGCTCATTGGATTGTCGTTCGTTAATCTCCTCTTACTCTTAATCTTCCATATTACTATACCCCCGATGGCTATAGCTATGAATGATACCAGTCTCGCCGTTCCCAACCTGCTTCCAACGCCTGGTTACCAGGGTAACTGCACTGATCTCCAGTCTGCCTACCCACGTTGTGAATTGATCTTAGACAGACGAGATCAAACAGGGGGTTTGGGGCCGTAATACACTGTTTATTGAGTTCAACAGGGGTGATAACACACAATTATGTATAAAATAAAATAAAATAAAAACTCACAAAGTCCAAAGTATCAAAGAAAAAGTATAACAACTTTTTTTTATGTCTATTTGCTCGGTACATAGGACTATGTCTACTTCCCGACCCGTTCTGTGGATTGTGGCACGACGCTTTCACTAGGCAACAAATTAAAAGGTTTCAAGTTGTCTGCTCCATAAGAAA